CAGCAGCAGGGAATACTGGTGATTGTGCAACCTGCAGGGAGCAGCATCACTGTGACCACAGTTACACCACCGGCTGTGGCATTTTTGGGAAGGCTGGCAAAACGCCTGCCTTGGTCTGTTGGGTTTTATCATCCCCCAGGAGAACCAGACAGTGATTTTTTATTAATTCAGGTTTGTCAAATGCTCAGTTCTGGATGCAGCATGGCTGTTTTACACTGACTCGAGCTTTCTTCTTGAGCAGACAGAGGAGCAAGTCCCACGTGAAGTCAGCCCAGAATCCCTTCATTGTCAGCCCCTTGCTGAGAAGTTCCCCTCAGAGTGCTTTCTGAGGAAGTGGCCCGAAGCTTTGTGAAGGATAACAATGACCTGGAACAGCTTGGCCTAGAAATGTCTTTCCAACCCCCACGTCTTTTTGTCAGCTACTTGATGCTCTGGAAAGTGAAGCCACCAGTTCACCTTCCACTGCTGGAATAGCCATAAAGTGGTTTTGACTGTGGCCCTTTGCCTGCAAATGCTGCCCATGTGTTTAACTCGGAGAGCAAAGTCCCCAAACTCTCCAGCAGAAGGAAATTCAGTGTCACTAAAGGCATGAAGTTCCTTTGCATCCACAGCCCATCCCAACGGTCTCCTCTCCCACAGCTCCACTGATAGGGTTGGGATGTCCCCAGCAGCCCAGATCATTATTTTCCGTATTGCAAACAGCCCAGAGGAAGTAACCAGTCCGAGCCCTCCCGTAGGAGTGAAGCAGTTTAACCTGCACGCTGGCCCATCGCCAATTAACCTGTTGTTAATAGGTTGCAGGGGAGGGTGTTTGCCTTCCATTAAGGTTTCCATCCTTCCCGTGTTACACAAGAGGGTAACAGGTTACTGTGCCCAGCCCAAGGCGCTGGCAGGAGCAGGGCTCCCCACAGCAGCGGGACAGGTTTATGTGACAAAGGAAGGGAAATGGGGTCAGTGACCCCAACAAAGGCTGAAAACTTCTCAGGCACCTCACTGTCCCCTGGCAGGGCTGAAGAAACTGAGACTCTCCAAGACACCTAATGGGCAACAGACTGCAAGACTTGTGTACTGTTCTGGAACTTGTAAGAAGTCCTGAGATAAAAAGCTTTGATTTTAAAGTATGTAAGTCATATGAATTAAGAAATGGGAGGCAGGAAGAACTGAGCCAGCAAGTTGATCTTTATGAGATATGGACTTCGTTACCAAGGTATGATCTTTGTGAACAGAATGATCTGAAGTTTCCCAAGTGATAAAGCAGAGAGTGCCATCAGAGCAGGGACTTCTCCAGTAAACCCTACACTTTGAACCACCAGCAGCTTCCCATCCCCGCTCCAAACAACGCGGGGGGATTGCAGGAATCCAGGAGACTAAGAAACTATGGTTTCCCTATCACTTCTCCAGTAAACCCTACACTTTGAACCACTAGCAGCTTTCCTTCCCCGCTCCAAACAATCCAGGAATCCAGGAGACTGAGACATGCTATAGTTTCCCTATTGCAGTTGTTTTCCGTATGTGCCATCTTTAATTCTTCAACTTCATAAAAACAAGTCATCCCAATTCTGAGCACATGTTTTGCTATTAATATACAAAAACCACAATTTAAGTTACACGTACGGGGGGCAGAGCCTCCTGCCCTGGGTAAGCTTCTGCAGAGTAATGCAGACACAAAGCAAGGGGAACAAGGTGACTCTTCCCTCCTGTCACACATGACATCCAGCCTTTTCCCCTCCTCACACTGTCCTAACAGCAAACTGGTTTTGGGGGGCACATCCACACAGTCCAGCCAGTATGAGTTTTCTGACACCTGAGTGGTACCTCCATCCCGGGAGCAGCTCTCAGCATCTCTGCAGCAGGGCAAGCCTCAAGGGAAACACGTGTTACCCACATCTGTCTCTAACAGGTCTCTTTTTAAATTGGTTTATCATAGTTCTTTATTGTAGCAAGAGCAGGACACAGTGCTCGGAGCAGATTTTTTAACCAGACACTCTTTGGAGTTTTGCTGGCTCCAGCACGTTAATGTTTCCCATTCTCCCTACTTTTTGAGTAGATTTGCTGCCATTCACAGACACCAATTACCAGTTCAAGAGCAGTATTTTGGCACCAGAACTGTTTATATGGAAAACAGATTACAGCTAAAATCCAGCTACTGTTGTAATTTCAAAACCCAGTAAGACTCCAGGCACGCATTTTACTTGCTTATTACTGCTATAATAAAAAATAGGGGATATTATAGAATCATAGAATTGTCTGGGTTGGAAGGGACCTTTAAGATCATCAAGTCCAACCATCAAGATAACTGATAAAAGCCATCACCAAACCATGTCTCTAAGCACTATGTCAACCCGGCTTTTCAATCCCTCCAGGGCTGGTGCCTCAACCACTTCCCCGGGCAGCCCATTCCAAGGCTTAATAACCCTTTCCGTGTAAAAATTGTTCCTAATCTCCAATCTGAACCTCCCCAGGACATCCATGTTTATTTTAACGTGGGTTCATTGTATAATCAATTGATCTTAAACTAACATCAAATGTCTCATAAACTATACTGCATTACCTTTAGAACCCAGGCTCTCTTCTTTCAAGAAATACAGTCAGTCCACATAAAAATAAATGCCAAGGTTCCAATTATGAATTTCTGCAATATCTATTTTTTCAATACAACATTCAGCAGCATATATTACTTTCCAAATAAAATTCTTATGCAGAAGCCTGTGCCCCCATATAATAAAGATACTAAGTCATATTAAATATACTATAAAGATACCTGTGAAGCATTTGTGTGTAAAAACCCCTCAGTCTGAACACAACTGCAGACACAGTTAAAGTCCCTGCTGAGAACACACCACGTGTAAGAGCTGTCAGTTCAGACCTTAATCCATCGCCATCGAGTGTTCAATAAGCACATTGTACACAGCATTGCTGAGCTTTTTACAAACAGAACAGGTAGAACACAACCAAATAATTCCTGATCTGATCAAGAATAATCAACAGAAATTAATATACCTGTGCTAAGTGGTCGATAATGCCCTTTAAAACAGGCACAATTTGCTTAAATAAGACTGGTGTGCTCTGATCAAGTTGGGGTCTTTTTCCCCCCACTGTTGGCTAAGTTTTAAAGGTCCTGACAAACACCCGAGTAGTCATTTTTTAATCATTATGAGGACAGGAGCTAGGATTTTGTGGTAACTAGGTAGTACAGCCACTACAGCAAAGGATTCAATACACATGGGAAACTTTATTTTTACAGTTCACTGCTATAGATAATTAATGTATAAAAGGTAAAAAAAAAAACAAAACCAAAGTAAAGATAGACTGAAATCTGAAATTACAATTTTACCAGCAAGCATGGCAAATAATTATTTATAAATCACTGCGTCCACAAATTTTGGAGTCTTTTGATTACCATCAGCCTCATTAAATAGCAGGAAACAGGCAAATACCTACTGAGTGAGTTGCCTGAGGTCGGGGTGAGTCAGTGGCTGGAGTAAGAACACAGTCCTGCTCTCCTGCTTCCCACTCCCCGTGCCCTAATCACTGACCCGGCGGGAATTCAGGCTCCACGTCACGAATTGTCACCAGGCAGTGACAGCAGCTGGAGGGAGGGAGCAGCTGGAGGGTGCAGGAGCCAGGGATCCCACAGGTACATTCCTCCTTACCCTACCACTGTGTTCCACACACAGCAGGTTAGTTATAGCCACCGTATGGCTCTCAGCCATTCCCATTTACAACACAAGGATTTATTTGTAATAAACAGAAACATTCTGAATATTTTGTAAACTAAAATTCTGGCTTACAGGAACAACCTACCTTCAATAATTCTCAGCGCATCTCTAAGTTCAATTAATCACCTCGCAGCAAAGCATCTCAAGTGTGCAAACTCTGACAGTCACTTCTGCAAGAGACTGCATTCTGACCCTAATCACTGACCCGGCGGGAATTCAGGCTCCACGTCACGAATTGTCACCAGGCAGTGACAGCAGCTGGAGGGAGGGAGCAGCTGGAGGGTGCAGGAGCCAGGGATCCCACAGGTACATTCCTCCTTACCCTACCACTGTGTTCCACACACAGCAGGTTAGTTATAGCCACCGTATGGCTCTCAGCCATTCCCAGGCAGTGACAGCAGCTGGAGGGAGGGAGCAGCTGGAGGGTGCAGGAGCCAGGGATCCCACAGGTACATTCCTCCTTACCCTACCACTGTGTTCCACACACAGCAGGTTAGTTATAGCCACCGTATGGCTCTCAGCCATTCCCATTTACAACACAAGGATTTATTTGTAATAAACAGAAACATTCTGAATATTTTGTAAACTAAAATTCTGGCTTACAGGAACAACCTACCTTCAATAATTCTCAGCGCATCTCTAAGTTCAATTAATCACCTCGCAGCAAAGCATCTCAAGTGTGCAAACTCTGACAGTCACTTCTGCAAGAGACTGCATTCTGAAATAAACAAAACCATTACTATTTGAAAAATCAACCTCAGTGGGTACCTATAGAGAAGAAAACCTAACAGCTGCTTTTTATAAGTGAAGGGAAATTAAAAGTGGTAAAATTATTTGTCTCTCTCCATTCCTAAGGGAGACGTTTTTGTCGGCTTCCAAGGAGCAGGTTCTCATTCCACCACTGGAGCAGCGCAGACGTGGGGGACAGAGAACCTCACACCCTGTGCTTTAATGTTTTTGCTGCAGATCCAGTGTAGCAAAGTAGGTCTGGAAACACAGAAATGTCAGGTATAAAGAAGAAAAAAATGTCAAGCTGCAGTGTCTCTCCAGGACTGAGCTCATAATTTTCTATGTAGATCTAATTTTTAGATAAAACAAACTAAACTTACCTGCAGTGAAACCCATTACAACTTTGGATCACTGTCCCCTGAACATCATCTGCAGGTTGTGGTCTGTCAGGTGTGGGATGATGATACAAAACCAGAGGCCTAAAACCCTCTAGTGCATAATAAACATAATCAACCGAGGAAAAAACAAAATGAAGAATAATGAAAACAAGCATTCAAAGTTAAGCTTAGATTTTATTTGGCAGTAAATAAAAACCACTGTGGCAATACTCTACAGGATGATCGCTGGAGTGTAATTTTTTGTCAGCTGGCCGTTGGATCACAAGGAAAATTAAAGAGTATTACTGTGTGCTTTTAATAGACAAGCCCAGCCCGAGCCAGTACTTTTTTACAGGTTTTGCCTGCATTGCAGGGCAGGCTGCACAGTGAAAATCAGATCCCAGGATCCCCTGTGACATTGGGTATCGATTCGGAGAGGAGATTTCAGGTAAGTAGAAGGATGCATTTGCACAGATATTTCAGATAAGCAGAAGGATGCATTTGCACAGAGGTAACTACAAGTCTGCGACCACTGCAGTGTCTGTGTGTCCCGTTCTGCAGCACAAACCCTGCTCTCGGCTTCTATGGGTGTATCAAGGGTTCCTATGACAAGCAGGGCTTCACCTTAACTGGAAGGCAAAAAGATCTGCGAGTTTGCAACAATTAAAACGTGTTATCCTTTCTCTTTTCCTGTTTTACCGAGCTGTTTTTTAAAAAAGTTAAAATAAACGTAAGGCAAATGATCAATAAGTTGTGTCAGAGAAATATTTTCTTTGCGTATCAAAAAACCCCACCAATTTTCTCTTCTGCCACACTGCAGATACAAAAAAATCTGACCATTATTCTTAGTCATATTTCAGGTTGTTACAAAGACTTTGGTATACTCCATCCCAGCCAATAAGTAATAAATTAGGATGTGAACAATATGGGAAAAGCAATGAGGATTTTGAAGTCAGTATTTTATTTTGGCACACTATTAAATATGCATATTATCTTTCTGTGCTTCTGCCTTATGTTTAAAGATCAAACGATATTTTTGGAAAGTAGTTATGTTCCAGCTTTGATTAGTGTAGCAAATGCTAACATGCATTTTAAAAATGCTTTGTATCAGATACTCCAAAGTATATTAAGTAATTTTTGAAATGCAAATTTTCACTACTCATTGAGGTAAATATGAAAAAAGATGCACCAAAAATGCCACAGAGGGATCCTGGGCTAAGGAACAAACCTGAACTCCCTCTTCAGGCAAAAACATAAGCCACAAACAGGAATTTTTTTCCAGATAACTGGATTCATAAAACAATTGTCACCTTTCAGGTTCCCTTCTGACCAACGCTCTCCCACCGTGGGGAAAGAAGGCAGCTGTGCTGAATGCAGTGCAGGCACAGGAGCCCTGCCTGCCTCTAACTCACTCCCCACCAACCTCTCCCAGCCTTTAGGAGTTCCACGTTTTTTCCAACCAAATGCCTTTCCACAGGCAAACACAACCACTGAACACCAAGCACGTAGGTCCACGAGTGATATATACGATTACAGTATAGTGATATCCAAATTTCAGTAAGGGCAGCATCATTGACAGTCAAACTATCCAGGAGGTGCAGAGGAAACCAATCCCCCAGTCCGTTATACAAAACAGTCTGCTGAAAATACGAAGAAGTCTCCTCCTTAGAGAAAATCAGCAAGGTAGGAAAAAAATAAAATGCACCTTCCTTGAATTTTATTTGGACTCGGCTTCTTCATCCACGAATTCCACCAGCGGAGCATGTCTGTTGGCCTGGGCACCTTCTTGGAAATGAACCTTTTTGATCACTCCTGCCTTTGGAGCCCTTATGGTGTGCTGCGGGGAAGGGAGTGATGGTCAGCACGGCCCCTTCCCCCCCCCAGCAACTCCTAATGCTACTCTTTGGTGAAATTAGACCACACCACCCTTAGTTACTTCCTCTGACACATGCATATTTGCTTTAAACCTCCTCTTAAAATGTTATCCTACTCCTTTTTCAAGTTTCGTTTTCTCATCAGTATTTATTTTGATACTGGGGACAAAAATGTTGTAATATTTTGAAGTACGAAGAGCTGCATGTTATTTTATTTCACTAGTACTTTTACGTATTATAATAAATAGCAGGCAGAAATAATACAGTTTTAGTCCAAAATGTTAATCATAGAGCAGATTTGTTCCCTTAAGAGGAATCTGCAGATTTACTAAAAATATTTTTGTTTGCTGGCCAGGAGGGGTCTTTACTCAGCAGATATTTGGCAAAATCTAGATGAAATACAAATACAGCTACCAGTATAAAGGAATAGCACATTTACATACCAGTCCCCAAACTGGTCTACTTGTTACTGTACCAGATTAGTTTTCCATTCACGTTTTGTTTGTTGGCAATTTCCTACATAGGGTTAGTGTAGTATCAAAACATTTAATATCAGATATTAATCCTTGCTTAGATGTGAGGATTTAATTTCAACAATAATTTGCTTTTTAAATTTTACAGTTTATATTTCAATAGCTCTGCAAAAAAATGAGTGTAATTTATAAAAGAGCATGATAAGGGAAAGGCAAATTTTCTCAACAATGTTAATTTTGCTACTAATCACTGAAGTTTAAAATAAAACAATAGCCAAACCAAACCAGTTCAGGCTATAGAAACTATAGCTCAAGCAATCTGAGCCGAAGTCAAGCAACGTTACAAGATATAATGCCCAGCCACACACTGAAGTTTAAAATAAAACAATAGCCAAACCAAACCAGTTCAGGCTATAGAAACTATAGCTCAAGCAATCTGAGCCGAAGTCAAGCAACGTTACAAGATATAATGCCCAAAATGCTAGCCTACTAAATGCCACGTGGACAATTACAAAGAATCTTTAGTGTACTCTTGGTAAAACTTTAGGTTAATAATAATAAAAAGATTATAAACAACAAAAAAAATCCTGGACATATTTACAAAGTCACCATTAGCTAAATCTCTGCATGAAGTAACACATCACAGTGACCAAGAGACACACCTTGACAGCTTTTTGCTAAAAAGCTGAATGCAGGGAAGGGGAGAGGATTGCCAAAGCTACCCAAATTAATAGCCCAATGAACGCTAAAACATCTGCAGAACACCATGGGTTATATAATCATCATTTGTTGATAAATTAACAGCAAATATAATCCCCTGCAATCTAGTCAGACACAACACTTGTTTCACAGCATATGAAGTGAGAGTGACATCTGCAAGCTACGCTCTGCACCATGCTCCAATAATGCAACCAAAAATGATTACATTCTGACCAGCTTTTTATTTTCTCAGTAATTAAAACCTTTTATGTGTCACTTACCTCCATTTTCATAGCTATCATAACCATTAGAGGGTCTCCAATCTGAACTTTATCCCCTGCTTTCACAAACACCTACAAATCAAGAGAAAATTGGGGGAAAAAAAAGTCATGCATGTGCATACCATTAAAAATCATTGGCTGGATCTCAGCCACAATACCATTAAAAATCATTGGCTGGATCTCAGCCCGCACAATCCACTGAGTGATTGTGGTTTTGCAGAACAGCCTCATAATATTTTTATTATTGTTGCACTGGGTATCTGAGTTCTCCAGCTAATACTTGAGGGAAGCCAGAGGCTATAGGAGAGGCTCAGTACTAAAACATCTGCAGAACACCATGGGTTATATAATCATCATTTGTTGATAAATTAACAGCAAATATAATCCCCTGCAATCTAGTCAGACACAACACTTGTTTCACAGCATATGAAGTGAGAGTGACATCTGCAAGCTACGCTCTGCACCATGCTCCAATAATGCAACCAAAAATGATTACATTCTGACCAGCTTTTTATTTTCTCAGTAATTAAAACCTTTTATGTGTCACTTACCTCCATTTTCATAGCTATCATAACCATTAGAGGGTCTCCAATCTGAACTTTATCCCCTGCTTTCACAAACACCTACAAATCAAGAGAAAATTGGGGGAAAAAAAAGTCATGCATGTGCATACCATTAAAAATCATTGGCTGGATCTCAGCCACAATCACTGAGTGATTGTGGTTTTGCAGAACAGCCTCATAATATTTTTATTATTGTTGCACTGGGTATCTGAGTTCTCCAGCTAATACTCGAGGGAAGCCAGAGGCTATAGGAGAGGCTCAGTAAAGCTCAGAGGATGACCAGGAAGCCATTTATGTCTCAAAGAAGCAGCACTAGAGGAGACAATGTATATTCTGCCCTTTCCGGGCTTAAAAGCTTCTTTCTGAGAGAGAAAATGAACAACCCCCTCCTGGAGCCAGTCCCTAAAGTCATTTTCAAAACAAAATCCAGGAAGAAGATTGCAGCAGGCACCTAGTTTTTCTACAGTAACTCTGATTTAGTGTCAACTCAGCCTGTAAGAGATCCACGTGCAACACACTCCACCCTCTGGAAGGGCTCACACCTTCTCATTGCCAGCAGAAGCCTTTAACTACTCAGCTCTGCCAGAAATCTCTCTTCTATTGAAACTTCACCACTGCACAGAGAAATACACAAGACTTGCTGAGCTAAAGGAAAAGGAACAAAACCAGAAGCAGCGAAACACAAAGCTTAACAAAAACGGCATTTCTGAATATTTCTCTTTTTTTGCAACTGCATCCAACATTTCATCATGCGATGAAATGGATCAAACAGCCTACGACACTTCAGGGAACTTTGACTTAGAAAGTAATTAAGATGAAGAGAAAATTATTTAAGCACTAGGATTAGTTAAGTATTCAGCTTGTCCAGAGCTGTACAAAAACTAGACTAGAAGCCTGAAAAACTCTTGGGTGGCTGCTGAAAAGTAGGAATAAAAAGGGCTTTTTCTGACTGGGGGGAGTCAGAGAGCACTGACATTTCTGGCCGTGCTTCTCTCCTGGCAGTACAGAAGCAAACACCATTTCTGGCAGACTGGACGTGGATATATACTGGAGAATTCACTTCCTACCTGTATTACTCTAATTACCTTTTCCACGGTGCCTGTCATGGGCGCTACGGCACCGCTCTGCTCCCCCGCCGAGCTCACCGCAGACAGGTACTTGGGTACAGGGAGGCCAATCTGAGCACTCCCTTCCTACCAAAATAAAACCAACGACATACGAGTTAATAACATAAAAGAATACACCATTAAGACACATGCTGGCATGACGGGAAAGAACAGCTCTGGCTTTAGGCAACTCGGTCAGCTCCTCAGGGTGCCAGAGCACTGGGGCCAGGGCAGCAGAACCTGAGCACCCTCAGAGCCCAGCACACCCTGACACCCCCGTGATTTCTTCTACATCCCCCACCTCAGGCTCTACTCTGATACCACAGCTTTCTTTCCTGTCATTTAATATTAAAAATGAAATGCACTGAAATAAAAATAGCAGTTACCAGCACTTTCAAACAACTGTCAGTCTGAAGGAATCGCTGCTGCTCTATGACAGACTCAGATAATTGGCCATTTAAATATTTTGTGTTCCCTGCTCCCAAAGCAGCATTTGTAACTCTGATTCACCCAATCGTGTTTTATTTTTCTAATAGTAATTTATTGTCTCACTCATTTACCATATCCAACTAACTTCTAACTACAGCTATAAACGCAAGAAGTATCAGAATGTTACAGGCCAGAGTGAGAGCTTAAATTATGATTCTCTTTCATCTTCTCTTCCAATTTATATCACTCGTTTACATGCAGAGAACTCTGAAACTGTGTACTTGTGATAATAAAGAAAGGAACTTTACCGGAAAGAAGAGGTAAATGGTGTTGTCCAAAATGACCAATTTGGCCTTACACACTGTTCCATTCACTGAAGACCTCAAGTAAAGTGAATCACCTTCTTTGAGCATCTCCCCAGAAATCAGGAACGTTTTATCTTGAATCTGAAAGTTAAATGCTTTATAAGGACAAAGCCTAACCCTTCAGGAGCTATAAACCAATAGTATTTGTTGTATAGACTCCTAACCTGTGATTCTTCATAGATAATTCTGGATTTATTTTTTTAAAAAGTCTTTTTAAATGTTTAAATCTGATGTATGCTTATTTTTAAAGTTAACAGGCTGTATTTGTATCCAATGCGACCAGCTCAGAAGATTAGCTATTACCCTCTCCGAGGACAATTTTTTATCATAAACTATGTAACAGCCCTCAGCAAAATACAAAGGAATATTATTTCTCAGGAAAACCAAAAGAAATCAGAATATTCAGAGTTTAGTGGTGCTACTAGAATCCAGTATGTATAATTTGTCCTAACATCCTGACTTCCTTCGAACTCAAAAATCCAGAGTATCCAGCTGATATGGTGAGACTCCACAATGCTTTCCAAAAGGCAGGTCACCTCACTCTTATAAGCTTGTAATGCAAAAACTACAATGTATTCAGGAAACCCACACAGAAACAGAGAAGAGCAGAATGGAGACAGCGTCAATCAGAGACCCAAACTGCAGAGGAAGGACCAAATGGACCTGCTGGTCTTTCAGGACATTATGAGTAGAGATAAAACACGACCACATTCTCCTGGTTGCACGTCCCCTCCCCAAACAGCCCCACTCCACATTCCTTCCAGCCTCGGGTTATTTTTTGCTGACATGACTTACATGAGATAAGGCTACAGAGTAAAAGCTCTCCTGCATTACACATGTAATCAATACACTCAAAATAGCCTGCCTATTACACGAGGGATGTGGGTTATCTCAATATTCCTATCAGCAGAAATAAGGGTTTGGGTTACCCAATACATGGTTATACACATGAAAGCACAGCAATTTTCCTCACTGTTTTTCTAGCAAACTCATCTCTGGACAGTCTGAGCTGTTCATGAATACTGACTTATTCTCATCATTCCCCTTTTCTGAACACTGGAAAGCAGAAGCTGCCCTAGAGAGAGAGGGTGTTCTCAAGCCTGAAATCATTCAACACTCAGCAAAACACAACCCCATAAGCCATACAGTTAGAGATTATCACTAACTCACACAAAACCAGCTATGTTCAAAATAGCTAGAGCTGTACCCTATAGGATCTCTATAGCGTTGACAGAAAAAAAAGCCAATTCCATCATTCAATTATTTAAGCAGATTTACTGCTCTCGTCATTCCTCATCTCATTTGGCAATCACTTTCCGATTTCCATCTTCAAAATAAAAGAAGTGTTATCTTACAGAAAACGCTCTAGAAATCTTTTATTTATCCCACAGGAGATCCATCTCATGCAGAGAATAAATCAGGAGTCCTGTGGAAAAAGAGTCTTTTTAAATGCAGATTTAAATCTACCTTCCAATGGTTTAGAAAGACAGATTTCAGGAAGAGAAAAATAAATAATAAAAAATAAGATCTTTAAATACTGGAAAAACAAATGTTTTTCTTAGTCTTATTTTCAGAAGTATTTTAGTAGCTCTTCTGTGCCAATCCAGCATCTAGCAAAGATAATTTCAAGTCAAAATATTAGTCTACAACAACAGCTGCAAGCAAACCAAAAATAGAACCCTATATCAGTAATTATCAAGCAACTTAAGTTAATACCAAGAGACGTCTACAAGAAACTGATTCTTCTTTTCACTAATGTAATATCTGAAAAAAAGTGGACTTGTACCTGCATGTTGTATGAACCTTCTTGATTGTAACTGACAGCTACATCCACAACTGCTCAATAAAACAAAACATGTATATGTGAGTAGATTTAATTATAGGATCCAGAGAATCATTACATATAAACATTATTTAGTCTATTTTTCTTGATAAAAAAATACCTATCAATACTAAGAAAAGAGTATTTTCAGATGAGCTGAGTACACATTGCAGATTTCATACTGAATTCTAGACAATTTGTTTTTCAAAGATGAACCCTTGCTGTTACGCTCCAAAATCTATGTTCTCTGGACAGAAAACAGATTTTTGATGGGAAAAAGTGCTGAGCACTTTCACACCAAAGTGAAGTAAAAAAAAAAAAAAGTCAATGACATTCAGCTTATCTCACCGTTATTCATTTAAATGATGAACATTAGTGGTGTCATTTGAATTGGGTTTATATCTCCTCGAGATCCAACAGTGCGGATCAATCATGCAATTTGGTGAATTCCCAGCTTAAACTGCATTAAACTCATACTGATTCTATTTGCTGTTTCTTAGCCTGAATTTTCAAGCACTAGTTGAAATAACTTTATGGATAAAGTATCTCCTCTTCCTCCACTGACTCTTTTGTTAACTTACCATTTTCCCCATCCAGCAGAGACAGTTTTCTGGTATAACATATATTTATTCTTCTACCAGTGCTGGATGCAAATGGTGAGAATTTATCTAAAACACAAAATATACAGATACGTTACTTTCATTCTACTTTGGCAAAACACAATACTTAGAACTTACACCATAAAATCAATGTCCTACTATTACTGCCATCATACTTGTATATTTATATATAAGATTGGGGAACCACTCAAGCTTCACCACTGAATAAATTGAGGCTGTGTGGAACCTACAGAAAACTCAA